CTCGAAATTCAGGTCAAAGCTGGCATGTCACCTGAAGTGGCCACACCTGCCGTCCCCAGGTCGGTTCTTCTCCTCACCTTCGTTTCATTTCCTTCCTAGTGCTTACCACAGTCTGAAAGTCTTTGTGTGTGTGTGTTTCTGCCTGTTTATCTTCTGACTCCCCACCGCACCCACAAGGATGACTCACACACAGGAGCAGGGGTGTCCTCTGTCCAGCACTTAGAACGCGCTTGGCGCCCAGCAGGTGCTTGAGAATTTGCTGCTCCCTGACTTTGGGACGTCCCATATGCCCCTCTCCGCGCTTGGAATATCATTCCTTGCCACATCTTCCTTGGCGAACTCCTATTCATCCTTCAGAACCCTGTCCAGTTATGCAGGGAAGGCCTCTGACTGCCTCACACATCCACAACAAAGCTGGAATAAAGGCCTCCTCTGGAGACTCACAGTGACCTGTGCACCCTTGGTGTCCGTCACTGCCAATTGGGACTGTGGGCACCAGCAGGGTGGATTTCCCCAACTGAACTCTTTCAAGGGCAAAGGGGTAGGCACCAGTTGGGTCTTGGGAACCATTTGTTGAATGAATAGATTAGCAATAAGGAAGTAAATGTACCTCCCTGACACCCAGCTTCCATCTTCCTTACGCCCCGTCCACAAGGACCTGCCATGTCTCCCATTTCCTGAGAATTTGACCTCCTTCCTCCTTGTCCTTCGAATTCATCGGCAAACCCTACAGCTGAGTGGGAGGGGGTGTGCACCGGGAGATGAGGGTGCTGGAAGACATGAAGGTGGTTCCTGCCCCAACACACAGGGCATCTTAGTTCAAGAAGCTTCAGTGGGGACTCTGTTTCGTTCTGGGGCTCCCAACCCAGACAATAAACACCAGCAAGTCTGGGGGCAGGGGGGCAGGGGGGTAAACTCGGATGCAGGGCCCCAAAGCTCACTCTGTGAAAGACTCGGTAATGACCTTGTGGGTGGCAAGGGTTGGGTTCTCAGCTGCATTACCCCTGGACAGTCTCCAAGACAGGGACTCCTGGCTCCACCGGGACTTACTGAGCCAGGCTGTTCCAGGGGGGGAGCACCCACTGGGATATGGAGACCACTTGCTGCTACGGCTTGGAGAGAGGGAGGGCCCTCCTTTGTGGCCAGAAGAGAAGGAAGGAGCTCCTGGGCCCAGGAAGGAGGGTGGAGACTCGCCATCTCCCCTGTTTCTCTATACCACTGGGGGAGGGAGGGCCTGGAGGCCCCTGATCCAGACACCTCCTCCCTCAGATGAAGGGCCCCAGCCCCTCCTCCCTCAGACGAAGGGCCCCAGCCCTCCTCCCTCAGACCCAGGAATCCAGGCCCCCAGTCCCTCCTCCCTCAGACCCAGGACTCCAGGCCCCCAGCCCCTCCTCCCTCAGACCCAGGAATCCAGGCCCCCAGACCTCCTCCCTCAGACCCAGGAGTCCAGGTCCCCAGCTCCTCCTCCCTCAGACCCAGGCCCCCAGCCCCTCCTCCCTCAGACCCAGGAGTCCAGGCCCCCAGCTCCTCCTCCCTCAGACCCAGGAGTCCAGGCCCCCAGCTCCTCCTCCCTCAGACCCAGGAGTCCAGGCCCCCAGCCCCTCCTCCCTCAGACCAGGAGTCCAGGTTCCCAGCCCCTCCTCCCTCAGACCCAGGAGTCCAGGCCCCCAGCTCCTCCTCCCTCAGACCCAGGCCCCAAGCCCCTCCTCCCTCAGACCCAGGAGTCCAGGCCCCCAGCTCCTCCTCCCTCAGACTCAGGCCTCCAGCTCCTCCTCCCTCAGACCCAGGCCCCCAGCCCCTCTTCCCTCAGGCCCAGGACCCCAGGCCCCTTACTCCCACCCAAGGCCTCTGTGAGGACAGTCTCTCCACCTGCACGTGAAGAAAGGAGCCAGGGCTCAGCTCAATGTTCAATGGTGTCATAGCCTGTGTCACTGTGACCTGGGGCTAGTGGACCCCACTCTTAGCCTCTATCTGCTCCCCTGTTGATGGGGTGCAGATCTCACTCCCTCTGCTTCACAGAAGGTAAGGGGTTTGCTCCTTTCCTCGGACCCCAACCCAGGCTAGGCCAAGCTCAGCAATCTCTGTGAACGGGTGTGACAGGGACACAGCGTGGCAGACGCTGGAGACAGAGGCACGGGTCCCTCTCCAGGCTGACAGCACCTGCACCAAGGTGTGCCCAGCCCGCAGCGACCGGACTCCTCCCCCCTCCTTTCCAAGGCTCAGTGAGCTCCCTGGCCTGGAACACTCCTTCCTCCTCGTCCTCTGGGCCACCTTGGGCTGCCAAACTGGCCCTTCAGGTTGGGCTCTGGCCGCCCCTCCTCCTCCAGGAAGCCTGCCCTGCCCGTCTCAAGGCCGCTTCCGGGCTCCCTCGGCTTTGCATCCTCCGAGTAGCACACAGGGTCACTGTGCTGGGAGCTCCCCATCATCTCATTGAAGCCTCCCAATGCTGTGAGGCACAGAGAGGTTAAGCAGTTTGCCCAAGGTCACACAGCTAGAAGGAGGCCAGGTCGGGGGAGGGTAGCTCCAAAGGATGAAGGGTCTACAGTGCATGGCCTGGGTTCACCATCTCCATCGTGTAGTAGCTGTGTGGTTGCAGGCAAATTACCGAACCTGCACCTGCCTCAGTTTCCTCACGTGTAAATGGGGTTCCAAGGACCCGTTTCATAGATTGTTGTGGGGATTATCCATCCATGCATGTAATGTGCTCAGAGAGGACGGGAGCCCTGGCCAGTGTGGGTGAGTGGTTAGAGCCTCAGCCCGAGAGCCAGAGGGTCTTGGGTTCCAGACCCAGTCAAGGGCATGTACCTGGGGTGCAGGTTTGATACCAGCCGTGGTCGTGGTCGGGGTGCATGTGGGAGGCAACCAATCCCCGTGTCTCTCTCATGTCACTGTTTCTCTCCCCCTCCCTCTCCCTCCCTCCTCCCTCCCTCCCTTCCACGCTCTAAAACAATCAACGAAAAAATATCCTCGGGTGAGGATTAACAAAAAAATAAAAGGAAGGGAGGGAGGAAGGGAAGAAAGGAGGAAGGGAGGAAGGAGGAAGGGAGGAAGGAAAGACAGGAGGAAGGGAGGGAAGGAGGGAGGGAAGAAGGGAGGAAGGGAGGGAAGGAAGGAGGAAAGAAAAAAGGAAGGGAGGAAGGGAAGGGAGAAATGGGAGAAAGGAGGAAGGGAAGAAAGGAGGAAGGGAAGAAAAAAGGGAAGAAGGGAGGGAGGGAGGGAGGAAGGGAGGTCGTTAATTCAATCCCATAGTTACTCCATGCTGGACCCCAACCTGTGTGCTGGGAACAGAGTGGGTACTGGACACACAAAGCCTTCGGCCTCACGAAGCTCACATTGCAATGAGGGAGCCTTCCAGTGAGCACAGTGGACAGGTGCCAGTGTGCTGGAAGGTGCTGGAAGGTGCTGGAAGGTGCTGAGTGCCCTGGAGGGAAACTGAGTATAGAGTAGGGGAAGAGGTGCTGCGAGTTCATTATTTTATTTTGATTGATTTTAGAGAGGGGTGGAAGGGAGAGGAAGAGAGAAACATTAATGTGTTGTTCCACTTATTTTTTAAATATGTTTTTATTGATTTGGGGGAGAGAGAGAGAGAAACTTCGATGTGAGAGAGAAACATTGATCGGCTGCCTCCTGCACGCCCCCTACTGGGGATCGAGCCTGCAACCCAGACATGTGCCCTGACCGGGAATCGAACCCGGACCTCTCAGTCCAGGGAACGACGCTCAATCCACTGAGCCACACCGGCCGGGCTGTTGTTGCACTTATTGATGCATTCATTGGTTGCTTCTTGTACATGCCCTAACTGAGGATCGAACCCACAACCTTGGTGTATTGGAACAAAATGCTAACCAACTGAGATTCCTGGCCAGGAAGAGGCGCTGTGATTGTAACAGGGTGTTATACAGGGGCCTCTCTGAGAAGGTGACACTGGAGCATGACCCGAAGGAGGTGAGGCTCTCTAAGGGAATAGCGTTCTAGGAAGAGAGAACAGGAAGTGCAAAGGCCCTGAGGCAGGATGGGGTCTGGGTGTTCAAGGAGCAGCAAGGAGGCCGGTGTGTGGAACTGAGTGATGGGGGGGGGGGGTGGCAGAAGAGGTTAGAGTAATGTCCCTGAACACCCTGCAGACTCAGCTTTTATTCTGAGAAAGGGGAGCCATTGAAGGCATGTGACATGGGCTGACATGCCCGCATTGGGACTAGATTGAGAAGAGAAAGGGGGCAGGGAGACCAGGCAAAAGGCAGCTCCAGGTGACAGATGATGGTGGTGGGAACCAGGTGGGATCACTGGTGAGAAAGAATAAGAGTGGGCACGTACACCCTCCTACTCTGGGGTGGGGGGTGGGGTCTGAGCTTTGCCTCTGACGTTCTGCCCAACTCACTGCCTGGGCAACCTTGGCCACTGAGGGAGTTGTCTTGACCATCATCATCATCATCGTGGGGTTTGTTGGGAGATTTCCAAAGGAAGCGGGAAGGAGGGGTGGGTTTTGAACAGGTGGAGACGGGAACCATGGACAGAGGTGCACGGAGAAGGACAAACACCAGCTCTGGGGATGGAGAGAGCCCCGGTTCAAAGCCCATCCTTCCCCATGGAGCGCCCCTCTCTCGGACCTCGAACGAGTGGAAATCAATCCTCTGACTGCCCAGAGGTATGAGGAGAATTGAAGGGGGCATCTGAGGCATGAACAGCAGTGGTGTGGAAGGGCTGTTGTTGGGATTGTTCCATTGTTGTTACGAGGAGACAGTCAAGGTTCCCCAGGCTGTCCCGCCCCGCCCGGGACCTTCCTGCCAGCCCCGCCCAGGGGCCACAGCAGTGAGCAGTGCCAGGTGAGTGCTCAGGTATGCGGAGGCGGGGCAGCCCAGGGAGGGAGCAGGAAGGAGGGGCCCTAAGTCTGGAAGGGATTGCAGAGCGGGCCTCTCCTCTGACAGAGCCTGCGGAGCAGGTGAGGAGGGGTCCGGAGGGCTGGAAGGTGGGGATGTCTGGGTCTGGGGGGGGAGGAGCAGGGACCTGCCTCAGGAAAGCCTGGGGGACCTCAACTCTTGAGTCTTAAAGAGGTAAGGGCTGAAAACCGGGTCCCCAAAGCTAGAGGAGGAATATAGGGTCGCAGGGAGTAGAAAGTAGATGAGAGGTTCTCAGAGGATCTGGGGTCAAACCCCCTGGTTCTTACACATGAGCACCTCGGAGCTGGGACTGGGCAGGTAAAGCTGGGAGACAGGACCCTGGGTAGAAGAAGAAAGTGGGGTACATGTAGATTAGGGAATTGGATGCATAGATTTCTGAAGGATTTGGGGCACAGGGTACTAAGTATGAAAGAAGAGAAGCTGAGGGCCTGGACTCCTGGCCTGAGGGAGGAGGGCTGGGGGCCTGGACTCCTGGCCTGTGGGAGGAGGGCTGGGGGCCTGGACTCCTGGGTCTGAGGGAGGAGGGCTGGGGGCCTGGACTCCTGGGTCTGAGGGAGGAGGGCTGGGGGCCTGGACTCCTGGGTCTGAGGGAGGAGGGGCTGGGGGCCTGTGCTCCTGGGTCTGAGGGAGGAGGGGCTGGGGGCCTGTGCTCCTGGGTCTGAGGGAGGAGGGGTTGGGGACCTGGACTCCTGGGTCTGAGGGAGGAGGGCTGGGGGCCTGGACTCCTGGGTCTGAGGGAGGAGGGGCTGGGGGCCTGGACTCCTGGGTCTGAGGGAGGAGGGCTGGGGGCCTGGACTCCTGGGTCTGAGGGAGGAGGGCCTGGGGGCCTGGGGGCCTGGACTCCTGGGTCTGAGGGAGGAGGGGCTGGGGGCCTGGATTCCTGGTCTGAGGGAGGAGGGGCCCGGCCGGAATCATAGGTCCTGTAAGTCAGGTCAGGCCCTCACCTCTTTGCTGGCTCCCAGGGCACCTCCCGGTGGCAAGTGCTGCCCACTTTCGGCACCATGAGCACCACCACCAGGTAAGTGGCCCCTGCCCACCAGGCCCCTGACCCCGGCACACCTCCCCTACCCTGTCACCCACACCAGGGTCTGGACTCTGGGTAGGAAGCCTGGGCTGCCTCTGTCCCTGTAGTTTAGCTCCGCTCTGGGTTCTAATCTGGACACTAACACTCAACAGTGGTGTGACCCTGGCCACAGTACCTCGCCTCTTTGAGCTTCAGTCCCACCCAAGGGCATTTTTACTGATTTTAGAGAGAGGGCAAGGGAGAGAGAGAAACATCAATTGGTTGCCTCTGACGGGTATCAGACCTGCAAAGTATTTAGTGCACAGGACGACGCTCAACCGATAGAGCCACTCGGCCCGGCCAAACAGGAACAGTTTGGAGAGCTTGGTGGTACGATGCACAAGACTTAGCTGAGAACCTGACTAACAGCAGGGGCTCAACTCACAGGAATTGCTATTGCCATTGTTGTTATCTTATTAAATATCAACCTTTTGCCCTGGCTGGGTAGCTCAGTTGGTTAGAGCATCGTTCCAATAAGCCGAGTTTGCAGGCTTGATCCCCAATCAGGGCACATACAAGAATCAACCAACGAATGCATAAATAAGTGGAACAACCAATCTCTCTGTCTCTCTGTCTCTGTCTCTCTCTCTCTCTCTCTGTCTCTTTCCTCTTTCTCTAAGATCAATAAATAGAAAAAAAATATATCAACCCTTTGCTAAGAAGTCAGGGGTGTTTATAACGAAGGCTCAGATCTCCTTGAGTGAGCAGGGAGAAGGACAAAGACAGACACATGGGAACAGCTGCGTGAGGGATGTGAGGTAGTGGGTTCACCAGCCCAGAGGTAATCAAATTGTGGAAAGATCTAGCTTGCAAGAGCAGGATGAAGAGCACACATTTCATTCCTCCTCCCTGACCCCACCTGGCCTCCAAGCCTCTGTTAGTTCTGTGGACATGGGGACTCAAGGATTCTTTTGGGAAAAGTTGACCTTGAAAAGGAGGTTGAAGGCAGGAGACAGAGAAGGATTTGTCTGGGTAGAGCCTGGCACATGGGGGTAATGGGGAAAGAAGGTAACTCTCAGGTGAGGAATTTTTTAATCCTTGCCCGAGGATATTTTTCTATGTATCTTCAGATAGAGTGGGAGGGAGGGAGAGAGAGAGAGAAAAAAAAAATCTATGTAAGAGAGACATATTGATTGGTTGCCTCCCGCACGACTCCAAGCAGGGCCAGGGACGAACCACAACTGAGGTACATGCCCTTGACCGGAATCAAACCCACTACTCTTTGGTAGGTGGGCCAACGTTCTAACCGCTGAGCCAAACCGGCCAGGGCAAAAAAAAAAAAAAAATCCCATTTATTAAGTAACTACTGTGTGCTAAGCCCTTAGCATTATAATCACGATAATAAAGTTATTGAGGCTGCAGAACACTTCAATGGCCTCATCTCACTGAATTCACCTGGTAGCTAACCCCTATCTCACAGAGAGGGAAACAGGCAGGAGAGATGGAGTCTCCTACCCTGGGTCTTATGGCAAGACAGTGGCTGGAGAGGGGACTTGAATCCAGGTCTGTGTGACAGTCAAGACAACACTCCTCACCACTACCTAGTACCATCATCTCACCTGTCTTACTAAAGTCCAGCTCTAACCTCTCCTCCTCTGCTCAAAACCCTCCATGGCTCCCCAGTGTCCTCAGTATGAAGTTGCTGCTCTTCTGGGCATGTGAAAACCCCATGATCTACCCCCAATTCCCACAGTCCCTCTCACCCCTCTTTTCCTTCACCAGCCCAGAAGCTGCCCCCAAACCAAGTGCCAAGTCCATTTATGGTGAGTTTATGGGCAAGGAAACCCCAGGCCAAGAGAAAATGGGTCTGAGGGAGGAGGGGCTGGGGGCCTGGACTCCTGGGTCTGAGGGAGGAGGGCTGGGGGCCTGGACTCCTGGGTCTGAGGGAGGAGGGGCTGGGGGCCTGGACTCCTGGGTCTGAGGGAGGAGGGGCTGGGGGCCTGGATTTCTGGGTCTGAGGGAGGAGGGGCTGGGGGCCTGGACTCCTGGGTCTGAGGGAGGAGGGGCTGGGGGCCTGGACTCCTGGTCTGAAGGAGGAGGGGCTGGGGGTCTGGATTTCTGGGTCTGAGGGAGGAGGGGCTGGGGGCCTGGACTCCTGGGTCTGAGGGAGGAGGGGCTGGGGGCCTGGACTCCTGGTCTGAAGGAGGAGGGGCTGGGGGTCTGGACTCCTGGTCTGAGGGAGGAGGGGCTGGGGGTCTGGACTCCTGGGTCTGAGGGAGGAGGGGCTGGGGGCCTGGACTCCTGGTCTGAGGGAGGAGGGGCTGGGGGCCTGGACTCCTGGGTCTGAGGGAGGAGGGGCTGAGGGTCTGGACTCCTGGTCTGAGGGAGGAGGGGCTGGGGGTCTGGACTCCTGGGTCTGAGGGAGGAGGGGCTGGGGGTCTGGACTCCTGGGTCTGAGGGAGGAGGGGCTGGGGGCCTGGACTCCTGGGTGTGGGGGAGGAGGGGCTGGGGGCCTGGACTCCTGGTCTGAGGGAGGAGGGGCTGAGGGTCTGGACTCCTGGTCTGAGGGAGGAGGGGCTGGGGGTCTGGACTCCTGGGTCTGAGGGAGGAGGGGCTGGGGGCCTGGACTCCTGGGTGTGAGGGAGGAGGGGCTGGGGGCCTGGACTCCTGGGTCTGAAGGAGGAGGGAACTGGGGACCCAGGTCCCCTGATTCATCTTCCTCCTCCCTCCACAGAGCAGAGGAAGCGTTACTCCACTCTGGTGATGTCCGACGTTTCCCAGTATCTAGTCAATGTGAGTCTGGGGTCTGCGTAGCCACAGGGACTGTTCTGGTACCAAAGGGACGAGGGTGTTGAAAGCAGTTGGGCTTCCAAGCAGAAAGAACTTGCGAGACTCAGTTTGCTCCTCCACCAAGTGGACTTCCTCTGCCTTGCCTCAGACATGGCTATCCGTGGAGGAACTCAATTCCACTCTGATCTGCCTGCTTTTCATCAGAACCAGCTCTTGACCTGGACAGTTTGGCCACAAGCACAGATCAGATGCAATCCTGGATGAGTAGGGGTCACACGAGGTCCAGAGGTACAGCAAAGGGTATCAGGTGCTCTGAAGGAACTAGATATAATCCAGACCATTCCCTGCCTTCAAGGAGCCTCCAGTCTCCTGGGAAGACAGACCCAGGCGCTAGTCACTCTGGTGAAAGAGAAACAAAGGGCAATGAGTGGAGGCGCCCACAGGTGGAGCAAGTGATCAGGAAGGCTCCCTGGAGGAGGTGTGGTTAGTCACAAGCCAGAAGGCTGATTCCAGGGGATTCTGAGCCCACCGTGCGTTATCCCCGGACTCACTGCTTTCTCCGTGGCCCGTGCCAGCACCTGGTGACGTTCTGCCTGGGCGAGGAGGATGGCGTGCACACCGTGGAGGACGCGTCCAGGAAGCTGGCCGTCATGGATAGCCAGGGCCGCGTCTGGGCCCAGGAGATGCTGCTGCGCGTGTCTCCCGACCACGTCACGCTGCTCGACCAAGTCTCCAAGGTGCCTGGGGACACGTGGGTGTAAGACGCGGCTGGACTGAGCAGCCGGGCATGGGGAGCTTGGCCCTAGGGACGTCAGGGGTCTTGGTGTGAAGCTTGGTTTCTGTGCGTCCTTCCGCTGGGAACTTTGGCAAAGGACCCCGCCCCTTCTTTGAGCCCTATTAGCCTCATCTATTAAACGGGTGTTTTCGCGGGGTTGCCCTGCGTAGTACGGGCAATTGCTGGCACTTCTGTCCCCCTGTCGTAGTGTCATTGGTTCCAAGCCTCAGTTGACCCGCCTTCCCGCCCCGCAGGAGGAGCTGGAGTCGTACCCGCTGGGTGCCATTGTGCGCTGCGACGCGGTGACTCCGCCGGGCCGGAGCCGCTCGCTACTCCTGCTGGTGTGCCAGGACCCCGAGCGCGCGCAGCCCGACGTGCACTTCTTCCAGGGCCTGTGTCTCGGGGTGAGCGGCGGGCTTGGGGGCCACCGGGGAGGAAGGAGCTGGGACCCCGCGCATCCCCCGACGGAGCTGGAAAGGGGCGGGACCTGGGGCACAGGCGGGGTCTGACCCGCGGAGGGGGCGGGGCATGGGGAAAGGTTCTGTAGGGGAGGGAGCTTTGAGGGCAGGTTGGACTCGGGTTCCAGGGCTCGGACCGAACAGCGAGAGGGGACCTAGAGGACCGCCAGAACTGGGCGGTAGGGGGTGCTTGTGGTCTAGGGAGCCACCTGGACGGGGCCTCCGTGGGTGGGTGCGTGACCTAAGTCAGGAACAGATTTAGGGCGAAGGTGTGAGTCTAGGGCGTGGACCTGCGTGGAACCACATGCGTGAATGATGACTGGACGCGGTCTGGGACCGCACGCGGCCCGAGGCGGGCTGTGGGCGGGGTGGAGGCGTGGCCTGACCCCGTGACTGGCAGGTGGAGCTGATCCAAGAAGACATCCAGGGGGCTCTGCACAACTACCGCTCTGGCCATGGGGATCGAAGGGCGGCGGCGCTCAGGTAAGGGCGCTAGGCTGGAATCCGGGGAGAAAGGGGGACGGGTGGGTCTCTCTGGAAATGGGCTGTTACCACTAGCCTAGAGCAGAACGAATTTTGAATGAAGTCAAACAGAGCCTCTTCAAGTCTTGCGTGTACCTCCCAGACAAGTGTGCCCCTTCTCCAGAACCCTGCTTTTCCCGACTCTGGTCCTCGTTTTCTCCTCCCTTGGCCCGTTCTCCAGAGGGATGCTTTCCACTCCCCACCCTCCAATATCTTGGATTTCTCCCTATCACTCTGGGCCTAGATTTGACCCATGTGGGCCACTGTGTCTGTTTTAAGCCCCGAATTTTCCCCCTCCCTGCACTCCAAGGGGGACCCAGCCACAGGTCCCCCCTTCTTCCTCCGCAGGGCCACGCAGGAGGAGCTGCAGCGCCGCCCCTCGCCCGCCGCGGAGACCCCGCCCCTGCAGCGCCGCCCCTCGTTCCGCGCATCGATCAGCACCGCAGAGTCGGCCACGGACCGCGGGCGACCCCAAGGGGAGCCCATCCCTGAAGCGGAAGCGGCGCGGAGGCCCGGCCCGGCGGAGACCTCCAGGAGCGCCGACCCGGCCTCCCCGGACCTGGGCCCCCGCGGCCCGGATCTGGCCAATCTGCAGGCGGAACGGGACGTGGTGAGCGGGGCGGGGCCAGGTTGGGGGCGGGACCGGCTGGCGTGGGAGGTGTGAGTCCTTCGTCAGGAGGTGGGGCCAGGTCTGGGGGCGTGGTCAGCGCTGGGGGTGTGACTGGCTGTGACCAACTGGGGACAGGGCCAGGCATCAGAAGGTGTGGCCTGGGCTCAGGGTGTGTCTGAGCGCTCCCGGCTGGAGGGCTTTGATTGGAGTGATGAGGGTCCGCGACTCAGGGATCCCCCACGCCCCCTCTGTCCCCCAGGACATACTGAACCATGTGTTCGACGACGTGGAGAGCTTCGTATCGAAGCTGCAGAAGTCCGCGGAGGCGGCCCGAGTGCTGGAGCATCGCGAGCGCGGCCGCAGGACCCGGCGCCGGGAGGCCGGGGGTGAGGGGCGCCACTGGGCGGGATCCCGAACACCCCCCTCCCCTGGCCACTCCCAGATAGCCTCCCCCGCGCACCCCCTGCCTGTTTGACTCCCCCTCACAATCTCACTGGGACTTTCCCTCTCTGGCGCTGTCTGTGTCCCCTGCCACCTTTCCTGGCCCCTGCCCACAGAGGGCCTGCTGACGCTGCGGGCCAAGCCGCCCAGCGAGGCTGAGTACACCGACGTGCTTCAGAAAATCAAGTACGCCTTCAGCCTGCTGGTGAGGATGCGTCCAGCTAGGGCCCCAGGGGCGGGGGCGATGGCATCCTGACCTGTCCACGCACTAATGCCAGCCTCGCTCGCTCCGTAGGCGCGTCTGCGAGGCAACATCGCCAACCCCTCCTCCCCAGAGCTGCTGCACTTCCTGTTCGGACCTCTGCAAGTGGTGAGGCCGCCTCCCTCGGCCCTCATGTCCCCCAGCAGCAGGAGGAATCAGGGTTCCACTTCTAGAGGGGCTGACGGCGTGCCCATTCCTGCTCCCCCTCCCCCGGTAGATTGTAGACATGTCGGGCGGACCCCAGCTTGCGAGAGGCGTGCGGCAGCCTCACCTGACGTCCGAGGCCGTGGCCCTGCTGCGGGACAATGTCACCCCAAGTGAAAATGCGCTCTGGACCTCGCTGGGGGACTCGTGGACCCGCCCGGGGTGAGGGGCCTGGCGACTAAGGGGCGGGGCTGGGATGCAGGGGCGTGGTCATTGGAGGAGAGAAGCGGCTGTGAGGCAGGGGATGTGGTGATTGGAAAGGTGAGACTGGGAAGGAAGGGTGAGAGCGAGCCTTAGGTAGAAGGATGCGGTCAATAAAGAAAAGGTGGGACCTAGGACAAATGCAGCACCCGACTGGAGGAAAGGCCATTAGTGTGACATTAGTGTGAAGGAGAGGTTAAAGACTGCCTCGGATAATCGAACGGGAACGAAAGGCGGAGCTTAGAGGAATGGAGCCGGGCTTTAGGGCGGAGCTATACTGAAGGGGCGAGGTTTAGGAGGGTTTGGGCCTGTGGGTTGACAAGGGGGCGGAGTCTGCGCTCTTGGAGGCAGAGAGCCGCGGGGTGTAGGGATGTGAGTAGCTGGAAGCCGGTTTGCATTCAGAAGCTGGGGGCGAGCATTAGTTGGAATCAGTGTATTTAGAAATATAATTTATGTCATGGGAGCGGAGCTTAGAGACAGGGGCAGAGTTGGCAAAAAGAAGCGAGGGTGGGGGAGGGGAGGGGGGAGGTGGAAGAGGGCGTAGAGGGGATACAAGGTGATGAAAAAGAAAATTAAATGTTTTTATTGATTTTTTAGAGTGAGAGGAAGGGAGAGAGAGAGAAACATCGTTGTGAGAAACATCCATCAGTTGCCTCCTGCATGCCCCCTACTGGGGATCCAGCCCACCACCCGGGCATGGGCCCTGACTGGGACTCGAACTGGGACCTCTTAGACCATGGGACGACCCTCAATCCACTGAGCCACACCGGCAGGGCGAAAAAAATTAAATTAAATTAAATTAAATTAAATTAAATTAAATTAAAAATAAATTTAAGAAATCAATATATTAAAATTTTTTTTTAATTTTTAAACAAACCAGGATAGAATAGCTGGATTAGAGTGAGATTTAGGAATACGGGGAAAGTGAAGTCAATGACAGAGCTAAATCGGGGCCAACCAGGATCCCTGAGTCCTTGGCGTATCTTTGGCTACAGGCTGGAGTTGCCCCTGGAGGAGGGACCCCCATACAGCCCCGAGTTCTACAGCGGCTGGGAGCCCCCGGCCACAGACCCGCAGGGCCGCCCCTGGGAAGACCCAGTAGAAAAACAGCTACAGCACGAGCGGCGGCGCCGGCAGGTGAGGCGAGGGCTTGGAGGGGGCAGCAGGCGCCCCCAGGCGACACAGCAGGGCCAGGCCTGGGAAGTCTGGGAGGAGGCCGCCCCCTTCCATGACCATCTGTCTTCTTATTTCCTGCAGCAAAGCGCCCCCCAGATCGCTGTCAATGGGTGAGTGTCAGCCCTGGGGCAGGTGGGGTCCAGGAGGGGTGCGTCCTGGGGCCTCCCAGCGCTGACTCCGCCCCCCCTTTTTTCTGTCTTTTTCCTTCTGTCTTCCCGACTCCTCACAGGTGGGTGAGGTGGTGACCAGGTCGGGGCGGGGCTGGGAGAGGGGGGAGGAGCACAGGGGGAGGGGGCGGGGCCCAGACTTCTGGGTCTGAGGGAGGAGGGTGCTGGGTGTAGGTAAAGTCTTGAGAGGTTGACCCCTGAGTCCCCAAAGGGCTGGGAGAAGGCACTTTGGTTTCCCAGGATCTGGGAACCTCCCTGCCAGGGTCTCTATCAGGACAGAGCCCTGGGTATTGAAGGGAAGAGGCTGGGAATTAAATATTTGGATTTTGAGGAAGAGTCCAAGTCTGGTACTTGGGACCTTAGACACCCAGAGAAACAGGCTTAGGACTTGAAGGGCTGAGGGGTGAGTTTCTGGGGAAATTAGGAAGTGGTAGTCTCTCTGGGCCCCAGGAGGTGGGACCATCGCTTTCCCCAAGCGTTACAGCAGTTGCCTCAGTCCCTGAAGCCTTTAAGGGTTAAAAGGGCAAAGAAGTTAAAGCTTACGACCTGGACTCCTGGGTCTCTGGGAGAGGAAAGAACTGGGGGGTCCAACTTCATGATTCCAACAAGCAATGGGGGTGCAGACTCTTGGGTCCTGAGAGAAGAGGGATCTAGAGGGGCTACGACTCTAGGGTGCCTGGGCAAGTGGGGGGGCAGAGGAAAGGGAAGCCGCATGGGATGAGAAGAAACCAAGCAGCAAAGCTGGAGGAGAAGAAGGGGGGTCTGGGTAAGGGCCCGGGCAGAGGGCCTCAGCAGGGACAGCGTGCTGGGAGCTGCCGGCCCCACACAGGGGGCGCCGCGGCCCTGAAGACCCCCCCTGTCCCCTGCACAGGTAGGCCTGATCTGGGCTGAGGTCCTTCTTCCTGGGGGCTCAGAGCCCAAATCCCACTCCCCTTCCCCCAGCTGCCTGGTCTTGCGGAACCCCACCCTCATCCCCGCGCTTCTGACACCCCCAGCTTTTCACTCACCTTCTCTGTGCCTCGGGTTCTTTGGAGGACAAAATGGAAATAATCACCCCTTCCTGGAAGAGTGAGAATCTGTGAGGTGGTACAGGTTTTCAGTTAAGAACTCAAAGCCATGGCAGAGCCCAAGTTCACGTCCGACTGCATAGCACAGGAGAGTAGAATTTGCTCAGGACGTGGACTCTAGGGCCAGCCTGCCTAGGTCCCTGGCCGGCTGTGCCTCTTCCTGCTGAGACCTTTACATCAGTGGGTCTCTTCACATCACTGTTCCTCCGCTTCCTCGCCCGTAAAGTGGAAATAATAACAGGGGCTCTGGGAGCAGGAAGAGAAAGGTGGGGGTCCGCACTCATGGTTCTACCAGGGGTTGTCTGGAGAATCAAATCAGCTAATATATGTAACAGACTTTGAACAGTGCTTGGCATGTAGTAAGTGCTATATAAGTATTAACTATTGCTTTTATTGTGACTGTGAGCATTATGCATGAGCCCAGTACTTAGTAACTGCTTGATAATTAGCTTCCGTTCCCAGTTGTGTGATCTGGGACATTTTTATCTTTCTCAGCCTGAATGTTCTCATCTATACAACGGAGCTGATGGTAGTACCCTTGCAGCACATTGCCAGGCACATAAGAAGCAAAATATATTCAAGCTGTTATTCCAATGTCAAGTCTCTATTAACAGTACTAACTTGTACCCCTGCCTTGGCCCCGGCTTGGCTCTAGCCCCAGCTCACACCAACACCCTACAGCCCAGAGCAGAAGGGCTGGCTACCTCCTGTCTCCAACCCTCCTCCTTCTCCTTAGTCACCAAGATCCGGAGCCAGAAGCTGAGCCCCAGCCGGAGCCGGAGCCGGCGGGAAAGTGGGTCCTAAGCAATTATGACTTCCAGGCCCGCAACAACAGCGAGCTATCGGTCAAGCATCGGGACGTGTTGGAGGTTAGCGGGGTGGGGGGCTGAGGGGCTGGAGTGGGCCCAACACTAACAGCAGACACAGGCTCTGAACCCTCCCCTCTTACCTCCCCCAGGTCCTGGATGACAAGCGCAAGTGGTGGAAGGTTCGGGACCACCAGGGACAGGAGGGATATGTGCCCTATAATATCCTGACACCCCACCCAGGGCCCGGGGGGAGCCGCAGCCAAAGCCCTGCCCTCATTCTGGTGAGCCAGGGAAGACTCCCCCGTCTTGAGGGAAGAGGCGCTGGGGACCAGGTCCTGGGTCCTGGGAACGAGGGGTATGCCGAGTCAGGGCGGAGGAAGTGCTTGGGGGTCAGAAATGTATCTCCATAAGGAGGGGCTGCGACTCGGAGTCCTCTCTCTGATCCCAGGTGCTCTCCTCTTGGTCCTCTCTAGAATAGCACGCCCCCTCCCCCACCGGCCCCGGCCCCGGCCCCGGCCGTGGCTCCTGCCCCTGCTCGGCCCCACTGGGACAGCTGCGACAGCCTCAACAACTTGGACCCCAGCGAGAAGGGTAAGTAGTGGGGGCACCCCGTCCGGGGAGCGGTCCTGTTCTCTCCGTGCAGGCAGGGAAACCAAGGCTCAGAAAGAGTAGGTGGACTCCGGCCCATCACGAGGACCCTTCTGCCTGAGTCCGTCCTCTCTCCGGGTCTCTTTCCCGCCCGCAGAGAAATTCTGCCAGATGCTCAGTGTCAACGAGGAGCTGCAGGCGCGCCTGGCCCAGGGCCGCTCGGGCCCCAGCCGCACAGCCCCGGGGCCCCGCGCGCCGGAGCCGCAGCTCAGCCCGCGCTCCAACGCCTCGGAGGTCCGCGCCTGGCTGCAGGCCAAGGGCTTTAGCTCCGGGTGAGTAGCGGGCGCCGTAGGGAGGGCCTGAGATTTGGGCACTAGAGACGAAGTGTTCTGATTGGCTCAGAGGGAGGCGTGGAGGGCCGCGGTTGACCAGGATTGGTCCAAAGCGAGGGTCTGTCTAGTTGCAACAATGAATGGCAGGTTGTGACTCGCATGTTTTCCCAAGCAGTCCCGCCTCCCGCAGAAGTAGAGTGCCCCGCCCACCTACGCACGCTGTGATTGGTGGGTGGGGATTTAGGAGCCTGCTTAGCTAGAATGCTGCTGATTGGGCAAATGGCTGGCAGCGTGAAGTGATTGATTTGTGGGGCTTGAGTTCTGATTGGCCGGGAGGCCTGACCACGCCCCCACTGCCCTTGCTCAGGACCGTGGACGCGTTGGGCGTGCTGACAGGCGCGCAGATCTTCTCGCTACAAAAAAAGGAGTTTCGGGCGGTGAGCCCGGAGGAGGGGGCCCGCGTGTACAGCCAGGTCACCGTGCAGCGCGCACTGCTGGAGGTGAGCCGGGACGCTCGCCCCGGGGCGGGACCGGGGGGAGGGTGCCCAGGACTCGGACGCCAGAGCCCCGATTTCCCCCCTGCCCTCCAGGACAAAGAGAAAGTGTCAGAGCTGGAGGCGGTGATGGAGAAGCAAAAGAAGAAAGTGGAAGGACAGATAGAGACAGAGGTCATTTGACCCTCCCCGGCCCTGTGGTAGAAGTGTCCAGGCAGCGGGTTTCCCCGCGCCCCGCGGGAGAGTGGACTCTGCAGGCCTCCCACCAACAGACCCCTCGAAGGACTGCGGACCTGCGCCAGCTCCGGTCGTCCCCTATCGCGGCGGATAAAACGGACCGTCCCTGCTGGAGTGGCCTGAGCGAGGACGGGCCGGGAGCGGGAGGGGTGCAGGGGAAAGACAATGTAAGGACCCCGCTTGTGGCGCACCCCGGGAGAGGGCACACCTGGGAGCCCTGCTGATTGTGATGTTGCCCAGTCTATAAACAGCTTCCTCTTTAACAGGCTGTGTCAACTGTTGTCCATTCTCTACCGGCTACCAGGGGGCTCAGGAACCTGCCCCTCACCCCAGCTAGTTTTACGGGAGGAAGGGAATCTAGGGAACGCCCCCACCTTCTTTGGTTTCTCTTTCTCAATACACGTCTCCTTACCCCAGGAAGAGCCCCAACCCAGGCTTCTTCCTGACCTCCATCACTCCAGAGGGATCTTCTGAACACCCAGTATTCCAGCCTGTCCCTTGCCCAAAATCCTTCTCTGGTTTCCGATTGCCCTCTGAGCTCCATAGCCTGGTATTCGAAGCCCCGAGTGGTTTGGTCCCTACCCACCTCTTCAACCTCCTCTCTCACTTCCTCATTCTTCCATGCATCGTGGTCCTACCCTTTTCCAAACATTCCCCAAACCTCTTCAACCACTGGTTTTGCATTTGCTGGTTTCTGCTGCTGGAACAGCAATTCTCTGGTGAACTCCTGTTCAGCCTTCTAGGGCCAGCTCAAATACCCAATTCGGGGAAGTCTGCCCTCATCCCCCAGGTTAGTCTCCCAGCATCCACTTTTCCACAGTCCCCCACCTCCTGCCAGAGGCCCAGCCACGGAGAAGTGGCAGCCTCCTGAAGGTGCCAGAGGCTTCCTGGCCACTCTTCATCTTGAGATGACAGCTCAACAGGAAGCTTCCTGCGACCTCCAGAACCACCAGCTCCTTTCCCCTCTGACCAGCCAGCCTCAGGCTGGTTTTCTCTGGCTCCCAGCCTCGTCCAGACTGGACATTCCTCCAGCTTTAGAAAGAAGGCTCTTTCCTCTTCCTCCCATCGCTCCTTCTTCCCTAGAATGACCATTACCAGGCTCCCCAGACAGAATTCCTCCTGGCCGCTCCCCGCAGAGCTCAGCTTCTACAGAGCCGCCAAGTGGCATGTGCCTGGCCAGGTTCACCAGCTTCTCGGGACCACTGCTCCGCTTCCCTCGTCCTGCCATTCCTTCATCCTGGAACACCCTCGCCCCTCATGGCTGTCTAACCCTTCAACCTCCTGTCTGGTGTCCCAACCCTCATTTCTAACAGGAACCAGGGATGCAAGCAAGTCCCCAAACCTGTTTGCTCCAGTTTTCTACTCAACAAACCCCCATGGTGCCATCTAGGCTGCTAAGGGGAATGATGCTGGGAATATTCTAGGAGACTGTCACCAGGATGTCCTTATAGGTTGGATAGTGATAGAAACAGGGCTTGAACCAGACAACTGACCCACATGAGCAAACCAGGCTAGTTTCCCTGTTTCTGTCCCTCACTGCCATCCTCCAGGCTGTTCTCAACGTAGCAGCCAAAGGGACCCGTTCAAAAAATAGGTCCCACCTCAGCTCAAGTCCTTACCACGGCCACATCCCTACATGGTGAGCCATTAACTACCTCCCCAACCCCATCCCCTACCATTTCCCTCCAGACACATGGCTTCTTCCTGTGCCTCAACATGTCCGGCGCACTTGTACCCCAGGGCCTTTCTCAACATCCAGAAGACTCTTCCCTTAAATACCGACATGGCTCCTTCGCTGACGCCTTCAAGTATCTGCCTGTGCCAGCTTCTTGGTGAGGCCTACTCTGACCACACTGTACAAAACGCACACATGCACGTACTTCTGCACGCGCACACACGCGCACACACACACCACCCTCCCTATCCCCTCCCTGCTTTTTCTTCATCGTACCACCACCTGAAATGTACTCATTTTATTGTTGGGTGCCTTATGCCTCTCCTAAGATGTCTCAGATCTTTGCCTTTTTCATTCACTACTGTATCAGCAACAGATAGGACAGGGCCTGGCACACAGAGCATGACCAAGAATGAGTGAGTTGAGTGAATGAACGAATGGACGCCCCACCTCGGGAGAAGACGGCTCCTTCTCAGCCCCGGCCCACCGTCACCATGCAGGACTGAAGAGCTCACACTGCCACAGCTTCCTGCTTTCAGAGAAGTCAAATTACAGATTTTTCTATGTGAATTACCCAGATGTTAAATGTTGACAACTGACTCCGTTTCAAAAGCAGTGATGACAAGACCCAAGCTCCCCAGCTCCCCACTCACAGCCACCTTGCGAGTGACCATGTCAGCCCTGGCCTGGGGCCTCCCCTCCAACGGCTCTTCCTGAGGCACTTCCCAGCCGGGAGCACGCACCTCCCGCCCTCGGCGCCCCACCCGCACAGCCCAGCACAGCAGCAGTGCCCACCTCCAGCAGGGGACAGTCACTGAGTGGCAACTTCACGACTTTTATTTGTGGTGCCTGTGCTATGTCTTGAAAATACCTTCTCCCCCTGCCCGACATGTCTGGGAGGGGGCAGCAAAAATAGAAGACGTCCCTCCCTATTGCACATGGACCCTATATACAGGCCCACCAACCTAGGCTGGTGGGACACTTGGCACATTCTCGGATCCCTGTTCAGGAGTGGGGGGGTGACTGGGTGGCATCACACGTGAGAGGGGACCTCCAGGTGGCCACTCTGGTCCTAGCTACTGGTCCTGGTGCTTCGTGGTCCTCGGGTCCTTCCTGGTCCCACCTGCAGCCCTGGTCCCCCTACCTGGCTCAGCCTCCCGCCTCCATCCTGGCCTCAGATGGCCCCCCCCTCGGCTCCCAGGGACTCTGTCCTCCCCTCCAAGTCTGGAGGTCCCAAGGGGAGGCTATGGCTTCTCAGAGACTCCCCAGTAGCCCTGTCACTCGTGTTCACACAGGGGAAGGGGTGCGTGTGGCAGAAGCAGCTGTATAAATGCGGGTGCGGGGCAAGTCCTCCGAAGTCACTTGGAGAGTTTGCTGATGACGCGGATCAGGGCCGCGTTCTCATCCTTGAGTCGCTGGTTGTCAGCCCGGAGGTCGGACAGGCCCTGTGGGATAGGACTGGGTCAGCTGGTAGCCCCGGGCGGGCTAAGCCCACGGCCCACAGTGCCTCGTGAGTATTCACCTTCAGCTCCTCTTCCAGCTCAGCGGCCTTTCGCTCCAGGGCCCTGCGCTCCTGCAAGCAACGGCGGAAGGTGAAGGCAAGGGACTGGGGGTGGGGAGGGTCAGAGGTTGAGTAAGTCTGAGAATGGTGCAGAAAGGTCAGTGGGCCAGTTTAGAAGGTCAGTGTGACCCCTCCATAGCTTGTAAGGCCAGGGACAAGTCCTGACCCCACCCCAGCTGCCCCACTCACGAATCTCTCCAGCTCCAGAAGGGCCGGCCTCTCTGCAAAGCGCTCCTGCCTCTGGTGGGGAGAGAAAGAGCATGAGTCAGAGAAACGTCCGAACAGCAATGGCCAGGAGTGGGAAACCTGCGGCCAGAGGGAAGGCAGCCGCGGCTCACCACAGGCCCCGCCCCCTGGAAAGGAGCCGCCAACTCCCTGCCCCACTCCTCCTTGCTGAGGCCCCGCCTCCTGAAGGCGGCGCCCAGCTCAGTCCCCACCCCTCGCTGCTCCGGCTGGGCTCAGGGCACAGGGATGCCGGCGCCATCTGCAGGGCCTCAGCTCACTCACCTGCGTGGCGCGCTCCAGCTCCACCTTGAGCTGCGCCAGCCGCAGCGTGGTCTCGGTCAGGGCCTCACGAAGTCTCTCGTTCTCACTGCGCAGCTGTGCGTAGAGCTGCGGGCACCGGGAAGCGGGCATGGGGTCAGGCCCGAGCTGCCCTGCCAAGCCGTGGGTTTGCGGGAGGGGCACACGGGAGGTCTGTGTGGGTGAGGATGGGGATGCAGAGCGGGAACTTGGCAGGTGGAGGCGCTGCCGGGCAGTGGGGCAGGGGTTTAAAGGCCGACTTATGGGAGGGTTAACGCACGACCATGGGGTGGGGGCCTCGAACCTTCCTGAAGCCTCCCTCCGGCTCTTCTGCTTCAGGCTGCGGTTCTGGGTTGCGGTCCCGCGGCCTTCGGGATGAAGGGCCGGCCTTTGGAGTGCTGGGGTGGAGGCAAAGCGCAGCGTCAGGGGGTGCGCACAGCCATCTGATGGCCCAGATCCTGCCCTGCCCGCCCTGTACCTGGATTCTGGGCTGATGTCCGCTGGTTTCGCCTCCTCCCCCTGTGGGCGGGGTGGGGTTCAGCGGGATGCCCAAAGAGGGATGTGCCCACTCCCCACCCCTGCCAAGGCCCACCCACAACTCCAGCTTGCCCCACTTGAGCCCACCCCTCACCTCCGCAGGCCCTCTCCACTCCTTGCCAACTCTGCGATGCTCCCTGGCGGCCTGTGGTCCCTGACCCTGCCCGTCAGGCGCGTCTACTGGGGGAGGGGCAAGAATCAGGAATCCCCTCTCTGTGGTGTCAGGGTTCCTGGGCCCAAGACTCCAGGAAAATGGGAGACTGCAGCGGGAGGGCTCAGGTGGGCTCAGGAGGATGACCTCCCAGAGACCAGACCTCACCTCTCTGGGCAGGGCCGTCAGAGTTTTCAACCCCGGGGACTCGGGGCTGCCAAGAAGGGTCCTGTGGGAGAGGGGCAGGGGGGTCAGAGGACGAGGGCTTCTTGTACTACCCACTGCCCAGTCACCTGACCCCAGCTGCCCCTCACCGGGCTCTGTGGGCATGACTTCTCTGGCTCTGGGGCCTTCCCTGACACCTTCTCTGCTTCCTTCAGGTCTGTCAAAGTCACGCCCTGCAGGGAAAGTGGGCAGTCAGGGCCCCAAGGCTCAAGCCACAGCCCCTTCAGGCCCCCAGCCCTCCCCCCCAGAGCAGGAGTGCAGGCCCCCAGCCCTCCCCGACAGATCAGGAGTGCAGGCCCCCAGCCCGACCCCCCAGATCAGGACCGCAGGCCCCCAGCCCGACCCCCCAGACCAGGACTGCAGGCCCCCAGCCAGACCCCCCAGACCAGGAGTGCAGGCCCCCAGCCCGACCCCCCAGACCAGGAGTGCAGGCCCCCAGCCCGACCCCCCAGACCAGGAGTGCAGGCCCCCAGCCCGACCCCCCAGACCAGGAGTGCAGGCCCCCAGCCCTCCCCCACAGACCAGGAGTGCAGGCCCCCAGCCCGACCCCCCAGACCAGGACTGCAGGCCCCCAGCCCGACCCCCCAGACCA